ATATAGGGGTTATATAATGACTTTAGAATGGTTACATATGGTAATGGGATTAAGGGTCCCTTTTAGGGGTCCCTCCTAATGTCCCTAGACTTGGGCATCTCTAGCACTGGGACTTTCCGCTGTTACCGGGCAGGCTGTGCCCAAAAGGATATGTGAAAGTTTGCAAAGCCACCAAGACAGGCTCCTTCCAGCTGAGCCATACTGCATTAAACTAAAACCCTATAGTCTCCTTTTTGTAGATAGAATACGGGGTATATGGGGATCTTATTATAATATACCCCAAGCCATATTCTATCTACTTAAGGGGGACTATAAATGCTAAAGCCTGTTCTGAGGCTATTTGACCACACCCGTGCTAGAAGAGGGCTCTCCCACTGGCGGACGGGTTGCGAGCTCAAGCTGGGTTCAGGGGTGTTCAGGGTTTAGGGTTAAGCTTAGGCGGAGCTCGGTTAGGCCTTTTAGGGTTTAGGGTTTAGGGTTTAGGGGATCTGTGCAAGCCTGTTGCAAAAGGGTTTAAGGTGGGTTTGGGTTTAGGGATAAAGCAGATGCCTCACTCAGTAGAAGAAACAGGGAGAGTCAAATGGAAAAGAAAGTGCAGCTCTTAGGGAAGCTGGGGTTATATAGGGGTTGCCAATTTTTGGTTTCTTCACCAGCCTGCCTTTCTGTCGGTAGGGAATGAGGGAACCGATCTCCATTCCATAGCACGTGATGATGACAACAGGCCATTCCCCAAGCCCTCCTTGACTGTGTAATGTTTTTACTGAGATTGGAACCACATGTTGGCTAAATCATATTGTTTTGCATGATATTGTGATACATTGGATCTTAAGTCCGGTGTTATCTGATTTTGTATCATAGTTGCTATGGTAGGGAGCAATCTCAGGCCAAAAAGCGACAAGACAAAGCTGCTGTGAGCACCTCGCAGGACTTCCTCATGTGAGCCACAGTCTAAACTCCTTTAAGGGGGATTATATAGGGGACTATATAGGGAACTACTATAGGGGTTATTAAGGGGGATACTAGGAGTTTTGACTATAGCTCATGTTCTGAGCTTGCTGCTGAGGCATTCGGCATTTTAGGAATTCAGCGCCATACCTTCTTTCAGCTTGCTTGCTTCACATGTTGTCTTCAGATACGTCGGCCTCAGATCACAGACCGTGCTTCAGAAAAGGAATCTAAGCATTGTAAGCAGGATTACAATCCCATCCCCTAATAATCAACGACGTCCACCCCGCGGTAATGTTAGATATTCCGGGCCCCTATTAAGAGGAGTTATGTTTGAAAGAATTAGATAGGGCCGTCTCTGGTTTGAAATCTAATTAATATTCACAGAGAGAATCGATTGAAATCAACCTAAACGCCAATGAAAGTTTTTAAAATCAACTGAAATCTAACCAGATGCTATCTAGAATATCAGTAAAATCGATTAAACATCGCACAAGGAACAACTAAAACCGACTTTCACCCAACGAAAATCGAGTCAACATCAGTTGAGGTGGCATTTAGATCGTACACAAGTTCCTTTTCACGAACTGTATCAAAGGATGAAAAAAAGCCTATGAAAACGAGGGCGTCCTCATTCCTTTTGATTCCTCATCATACTCTCCCTAATTGATTATTAGGTGATTTCCTTCAGTGCTCATTCGAAACTTAGGGGGAAACGGATTTGTATACTCGTGTTTGTATTAGGGCCCCCATGCATGGAAACTACCTTTTGGATGAGATTGTCATAAGATCATACTGCAGTGAGTAATATGGGCTTCCGTATTAGGACCTCTGCAGCTTCAGACATGTAGTTGAACTTGTCATCAGGCGAGTATGTAGTGATGACTGTGGGTGCCCTTATTGGCTATAGCCGCTATAGCCCTCCTTAAGTAGATAGAATACGGGGTATATGGGGATCTTCTTATAATATACCCAAAGCCATATTCTATCTACTTCAGGGGGACTATAACCTGTTCTGGGGAGGAACCTCTTTGGACGGACGGCCTGGATGGTCAAAACACATTAGTTTGTGAAGGGCTTTCGAGGGTATGGACTTGCCAGTATTGCTGTATAGTGGTGAAGATGAACCAGTGCTTAGAAAGTTCGTTGCAGACTGTTTAAGCACCTTGAAAGTCTTACAAACGTCGGACCCGCCTCACATTCTATGTCATTGTATGGGGAGGTCTCAAAGTGCGATCCCCTTCCTCATCTAGCCGCATGAGGGTTAGGACTCCCCACTTGGGATCACTTTGGGACTCGGGGCTTTACAAAGTGGTGCAATTTGAAAGCACTTTCCGCTAATCTCGCAATGTGATCCACGTAAACTTTTTAAAGTCCGTGCATATCCTACGTAACATGAGCATATACAACTCCACAAAGGGGTTTAGGGTTTAGCTCCCAATAGAACTTTGATGAATTTTGGGAATCCTAGTTATCACGCCACAAGGACATGCCGTCAGGCGATGGCTTAGCTGACATCCGCGAGCGGCTCTTGGCAAGTGATTCCGAGACGCGCCCCGAGATCTTTTAGGGTTTAGAGTTCAGAGTTGTTAGTAGCTACTGTTTGGGGAGCTTCATTATAGGGATCCGTTACTAAAGGGATTGAACTTAGGGAACATCCTTACCTACCAACAATTCATGAAGAATCAGATGAGAAGAACATGCGAGATGAACGGAGAACCGCTAGAAAGATATAGGATTTAGGGTTCAGGGCAGGCCATGTGGTAAAACAATTGCGCAAGGAAATAGAAACTGGATACATAGGAAACCCCAACCTGAAACCTTGAACCCTGAATCCTAGGCCCCTACCATTGGGAGCCTAGGTCTGACCAAGAAGGCCAGGATTCGGAGTCCGACGCCGAGGATGCAGGTGAAGAGGGTCAGGATGCAGGCCCTTTCATGGAGTAGGGTTTAGGTTGGGTACTGCACCCCACCAGTAACAGTCTATATTAGGGGTCCTCTTAAGGGCTGTATATAACCATATTCTAATTATTATCCAACTGTTACTGAGGGGGGGCAGTACCCAAGGTTTTTTGGTTTAGCGATAGGAATACCTTTCATGCAAGGGTTAGGGACTATATTGGGGTTTAGGGAGCAGGGTTTAGGCTCGAGGGTGTAGGCTGTAGGGTTTAGGATATCAGGGTTTTAGGAGTTTAGGATTCAGGGCTTATAGTCTTCAAGATTTCAGTGTCAAGGTTTAAGTTTTCGGGCTTGGAGTTGAGGATTTGGAGGTTCATGGTCTGGAGTTTAAGGTAGGGGCCGACTTGATTGAACTGAGGACCCTTCTGTTGTCGCAGATAGTCTGACAGAAGAACTATGAGCATTTCGAGTAATTAATATTTCTGAAGATCTGGGTGCCACTCATATACCCTAAATGCGATAATCTTTTTGGCAGGGGCTTCCAACAAACGTGTTTGGCCCGTAAATTCCATCCTTAGCAGAGCTTTGCTGTGGGCATGATTTGAAAGTCTGCGGAGCTGCTGTCTCTGCTGCCAATTATGAAGGGGCATATAGGGATAACAGGAAAATGGAAACTGCTATAGAATAATCAGGAAAAAAGGGGGTAACATAGAGGCGTATATGCCATAAGCGTAGTGGCGATGTGCACTGACTGGAGGCTTTTGCTGTGAGCTTTCTTTCATGCAGTTCTGCTGGCAAGAATGCGAACTGGCGCATTCTACCCGTCACCGAGCAGTAGGCAAAAGGTCCCAGAAAAACCTTAGCAGTAGCACTCAACTCTATAGAACCTAAGCCCTAAATCCTACAGTCCAGAAACCCTAAACCCTAAATCCTAAACCTGAAATCTACTTCCTTATGGCACTCAAACTTCCAACCTGTGAGGCGCTCGGCCCGCGCAAGCACCCTTTAGCTCCTGGCTCAACATGACTTGCTGGAGCCACACGGTTAGGGTTTAGGGTTTAGGGGTTTAGGGCTTAGGGGTTTAGGGTTTAGGGGTTTAGGGTTGAGCTACTGTCTAAGCTCCTTAAAGGAGGGTTATAATAGGGATAACGGAAAAGAACATGGAAGCTACTATAATGGGGTCGTATGTGGATATTATGGGGATATTATAGGGGTTTATATGAGCCATGGTCTGAACTCAGTTTAGGGTTTAGGGGATATCACCCCCCCAATAATGTAGAATCAAATGGAAAAGAACATGGAAAATGAAATGGAAACTGGGGTTATAGGACAATTAAAAGGGATTAGGGTTATGTGAGCTATAGTGTAAACTCCTTCAATGGGGTTATGTAGGGATTATATAGTGGAGTATTACAGAGGTTATTCAGGGGATAGACTGTAGCTCATTTGGGATGGTATGAAAACATGGGCTTCTAATGCCTCATTGGGTAGCATTCTAATGCCTCATTGGGTAGCAGCGTAATGAAAACAAAAAGCTGCATCTGACAATGGTCCAGTGGTGGTATTTGGGAAGGTTTGGGGTCCCCAAGGCTAAATTCATAAACCCAGCTCTCTCCCCAATTGCCCCTACATAAATAGCCTTTTTTGTGGGGTGGAGCTCTTTCTTGCTAGGGGGAACGGATTCAAGGGCAAAAGGTTTAGCATCTAGGGTGTAGGTTTATGGTGAATGGTTAAGGGCTTTTGGCTTAAGTGACATACGTGTTGATGTGTAACCTAAAGGGAGAGCTAACGGTAGGATTCGTGATCCATACTTGAAGGTTCAGGCGATTCAGTAAGTAGGTTATAAATGGGGTCATTGGTCCCCGAATTGGATTAAGCCCCCAGCGTTCAACTTTTATCATCAAAATTCTATGTCAGACCTCTCGTGTCCTTCAGCTGTGAAAAGTTGGCAGTTGTTCAAAATGCTAGCTTGTTTAAGAAGCTAAAGATTAAGTCACAAGTCAAAGACTACTTGTGGTAGAATTTTAATTTCTGAGTACTGGTAGTATTATGATGATACCCACATCCCTAGGGTTCCAAAATCTCCCCCCCGCCAGCCCCACTCGTCACCCCCCTACCACCCCCCCCACTTCGAATAACTTCGCGTGAAATGCCTACTGCTACTGTTTGAGGCTGGTCGCAGCTTGCTGAGGGAGACGATGCAGCGCAGTTTCCTCGGTTGCGTTAGTTTAGAGTTAGTTTGGGTTGTTGCATGAAGGTGTTTGCGCTTAGAATTCAAAGTCTACTTAATCACATCAAAATGCTAGAATGAGAAGCAAACCCCATCCCGAATGAGGGGTCCTGCATCGTATGGTTTGGATTCAAGCATTAAATTCACAGACGCGCAGTGCTTTTGGCTGCTTCTGCTGCTGGTGGAGCATGAGAAGGCTGAAAGAGTAGCATTTTAAGTGAGCCTTTGCCCTATTGAATAGTTACTTGGGCCCGGCTAATCCGTAGAAATGCTTGTGAACTAAGTCCTTTAGCCATAGATGCTCAACCCTAGACCCCATAATCTGGGAATTTAACTTACTATAATGCGTATAGATAGTAATTAATATGGTTTCCCCAATATAGTAACTTGAATTAAGTTCCTCAACAGCAAGCCAGTAATCAAAACCCTAAAGATTTTCTGTGGCGCAGCGTTGAAGGGGACCCTACATTTTGCTGCTGTGTTTTGCTACGTGGGGTGAGGGCCTGTTTGTCTTGGTCCCATGGGTAATCTGTAAGGATTGTTGGAACGTGTTTTAGTAACATTTCCAAGGCATTAACCTGAGGAGAAAAGGTCCCACAAAAAGAAAACCTTGAATCCCAACCTGCACCAGGCTTTGGGACTGCCATGCAGTTGCAACAAGCTGCGAGGAGAAACAACAGCTTAACAAGCTTCTATCTATGCATGCATCAGATCTACAGTATTAGAACGCATCAAAGCGGTCCCTAAGTCAAACCTGCTCAGGGCCCCTATAACTGTAAACCCCAAGTTATAACCTCCTTAGAGGGTTTTTATATTGCAAAATGCCCTTACCCAATTATGAAGGGCAATCCCAGAGATGAGGACCCGAGCCCAGGTACAAACCTGTAGCTTGGGTACTGCCCCCCCCCCCCCAGCAACAGTCTATATTAGGGGTCCTATCAAGGGTTATGTATAACCATAGTATAATTATTATCCAACTGTTACTGAGGGGGGGGGCAGTACTGAACCTGTAGGGTACAGAGGAAAGCAGGTTTAGGCTTTAGGCTTTAGGGTTCCGGCATTTGAAGATCATTGTACCCTAACGTAGGCTTGAATACGTTGCAGCCCGTGTCCTAGGAACTTCCAGGAGGGGGCCCTGCGTTTGTTGAAAGCCCAAGTTCCCGCATAACCCTAGTTTCCATTTCATCTTCCATGTTCTTTTCCACGTGATTCTGCATAGTTGAGGTACTGATCCCCACGCCCTAGACCGTACATATTCCTATAAAACCCCTGTATAATGCCAACATAATGCCTGCATTAGCCTCGTAAGACTTTTACAGCTCCCAGAGTTTTGTCCCGCAAATTCAGGCTTGGGCCTCTACCAGCGCGTCAGCTGGAGCGGGCTGGGGGCAGCAAGCTCAGAGGTGCTAGGGCTTGCGTCTAGAGTTTCAGGCCTATAGTCCCCCTTAAGTAGATAGAATCTGGCTTTGGGTATATTACAATAAGATCCCCATATACCCCATATTCTATCTACTTAAGGGGGACTATAGGGTGATTTAAGGTTTAGGTCTGCGGGCTCATGTAGGGTTGAGGGTTCAGGGCTTCATTAAATTCAGGCCTTAGGGCGTGGTGTTTGGGGTGTAGGGTCCAGAGGGCTGTGAAGACGGCTGTCACAATAAGGGAGTTTCTTGAAATTACGGGGTACTGGGCTTCCATGAGGGTAGTTTTGAGCAACTCCCACACTGCGCTCTTGGAAGCCTCAGCGGCCCCTTTCATTGGGTGAGAAGGACAAACAAAGGTGGCACTCGTATTGGTCCGAGGAGTGCCGGTTGCTCTCACAAGAGCTACTGTTTAAACTCCCTAAAGGGGTTATATAGAGGGATTATATAGGGGACTACTATAGGGGCTATTAAAGGGGGATACGAGGAGTTGAGACCAGAGTTCACAAGACGGCAAAGCATGGCCTCTCGGAACAGTATTGGAGTTTACTTGGGAAAGGCCATGTCAGGTCTGAAGTCTCCATACAGCAGCCGCAAGTACTTGGCTCCTTCTGACTCCCAGATCAGGGGCATCAAATGCTAAGAAACTTTTCCATCTCAGCTCTTTTTACACAGGCTGTTGGCCTCAAAGACATGAAAGACAGCCACCTGTTTAGCTGCGAACTTAACATCACAAAGCACACGGCACAGATTCTGTTGCATATGCCACGCTTATCCAAAAGCAATAGTCACACGGGATGCCCTCAGCGTGTGAGGATACTTCGGCAACGCCAGCAAACAGTAGAGTCAGTAGAGATCCTTGATTCCCGGCAACTCCTAACATGTTGATCGCCCAGGTGGCGACAGAATACAGGCGGGCTGCTTGCAAGTCAGGATCTTTTCTGTGTCCATAGATTCACCTAAGTTTGAGAAACTCCATTTGTAGTTCAGTGTTTATGCTGCCGGACGAGGGGCCTCTGGTCATGAAATTAAGGATTGAGCGACCGGCGACCGCCCACCAAGGCTGTAAACCCTGGCCCTATATTACCCCATGTACGTCGTAGAAAATCCAAATAACCATGAGAGTTCTTCTTATCATTACCTTTGGGGTGGAAGGGTTCAGAAGAAGCCCAGTAGATGGCATTTGCAACTGTAACTTGGGTACGACTCAAACGGGCACCCCCCAAAAACAGTCGAAATTGTAGGGATTTCCACATTGAACGGACCCGAAGTTTTAAGGAACACCTCATGTGCCCTTACTCCCGCAGGCTGCCACGTTTGGAGGGCGCTACACTGACCAAGATCGCACGGGACCTACAGGTTTTTTGCAAAAAGGCAGCAGTCCCTTGCTGGAGCTCAATTCGAGTAGGGCGGTCGAATCGTTGTGGTTGGGGGTTTCCATGTTGGGACTAGAGTGGGAATGTGCATCATCAGAGGGTGGGTACTATAGATGTTGACAAAGGATCCACAAGTTAGCAAACATGGAAGCCTGCGCAAGCACCAGTACGTGAAGGGATCCAACGCCCTACTGTAAGCCCTACACCTTCATGCAGAACTTCGGTAAACAGGCCCAACCTGTCTTTCCGAGCTGATGTGTAACATATTAGCATTTTAATTCGGATTTCAATTCGATGTTGCATTGCGTAATTTGATGAACGATTTCTACTTTCGCTTTGACCGGATTGGAGCTTTAATGTATGTGTGTGTGTACATTAGCATCGTGCCCTGTCGTCGTGACTTGCTGTGTTGCTGGCTTGTGTTGACTGCGCCGCGCAAGATCTCTGGACACCTGATTTCCTTCAACACAACTCTACGCCCTCATCCCGCACCCCCAAAACATCCTCAGCCTTAACCCTTAGATCCTAAGCCCTAATGTCCTGCTGAGGCCTACCGGGCTCTCGACGCATTGCTCGCAGAAAAGCCCTTGGCGTTCGCACGAAGAATCGGCTCGATGCAGGCACTGCCACCCTGGTTCGGATTCAAGAGAAAATGGTGGTTTCCCAAAATTAGGGGTACCTTTTCGGGGGTCCCAATAACAAGGACTGTAATATTTTGGGGTCTAGAATGGGGTCCCCCTATTTTGGGAAACTACCAAATGTTCGAGATGTGCAAGTTTCTCAAAACTGTGCCATTTGTTTTGGGCTGTCTAGAATCAGGGTCCTTGCACATCGTGGGGTGAGAGGGGGACCGGCATGTTGAGAAATATCGTTCCATGGATGACCAGGGATTAGGGTTCCAGGGCTTAAGATTTTTGGGGGCTTGCAGTTGAGCTTCTGGGATCCACCTGTGTTTGCTCATAGTCTGATCTCTAAGAATTTTAGGCCCTAGGGCTGCAGGGGGGGCATGTGGTGACTGATATGTCTGATAGGCAGTTGCATCATTGCTGGTCACTGCTATATAGTCGTAGCCCCCATGACTAGATCGTCCCTATTCTCGTGTCATGTTTTCTATAGTGCCTGCATGATGATATGCAGCGGTGCACTTGTTTACTAGAAGGCGGGAGGGGACTAGTGACTAGCATTCCCCTATACGCCCCGAAAATGGCGTCAGGTCTGCTGGGTTGTTAGTTTTTTGGACAAGCAAACCACATTCCTACATATTTGGAGGAAGCCCTTTGATTCCTCAAAAGCCTGTGAGTCTGGAGCATTCCCAGACCCCGTCACCCACAAGTAGCATAGGGTACCCCATCTTGGGGGTTTTACTTTCTGATTTGGGTTTTGAGATGCTCTCCCGCCTGGAAACTGATCCCCAACCCCGAAACACGCCACCTTGTGGGAGCCAGGCCGAAATTACGCTTCGCCGGATGACGACCTGCTTCTCTGATGCTCAGAAAAATTGAAGTGCACACTGGCTTGCGCGAAGTTCAGTTGAAATTGTTGCTTACCTCTTGTCTTTACTGGCTCTCAGGTCTCTTCAATCCCATCAAGTTTCAGTGGACATGTCAAGCAAAATCAGCTCGGCCCGACCGCATAGCTAAAGATCTCCGCCTCAAGCTTGTAGGGGCTGTCGGCATGGAGTTCGGCGCGTCGTTGCTGAGATAGGCAGATCGAAGCTGCACGTACAATGTTGAAATCATGTGTGCTGTTTCACGTCAACGTCATGCCCACAACTGTGAATCATGCAAGCTGCTTTTGACCATGCGGCAGTGCGGCCACCAGATGTAAAAGCAAACAGTTGCTGCGGGAACTAGCGCCGCTGTTCTAGCGAGTTCTGAAGGGTTCACGAGCCATGCTGCGACTTGCGCTGCGCAATTGTCTGTCGGCCAGACGAGGCTGGGACAAGCATTCGTCACCCTTTCTCCTCCTCCTGGTAGCACAAATCCAAGTTGATGCTTCGTTGTTCGGAATCCACCTGGAGATGCACTGGCCGGGGAAGGGCGTGCTGAAAGGTAGGTGGAAGGAAAGCTGCAGAGAGAGGGGATTTTTAGATACCCAACCTGGCTTGAAAGACTTGCAAAGCTGATGCATTGCTCCTGGGACGTTGCTTAGACAGCAACTTCGGCTGTCCTTAACTTGCGTGGTGTCTGGGTTTCTGCCATTAGGCTTGTCATTGTAATCCCCTTCCCCCAAAATTAACCCCCTCAGCCCCATTAGCATTAAATACTCCCAATATATTATAATGTACCACATGATGGGGGTATGTAATATTAGGGAGAGTGGGGGTGGGGGTTTGAGATGTTGGGGGGAGGGGATTATTGGTTGTGTTATATTGGTGGGAATACCTAATCAAACTCCAATTTGCGTCAGGCTTGGTGACAGCCACAAGGCCAAAGCAAATCAAGCGCTTCTACGAAGAGGTTTCCGTGGAGCAGCATGGTGACCTGTTCCGGGTCCTGTTGGATGGCAAGGCGTACTTCCATCATTGCATAGCGTTGAGGCATAGCAACCAACAAGGTCCTAGTCATCGATCATGTGTCACATGCCCTGCAGGTAGTCAAGACGCCCAAGGGCACCACACTGAATTTACCCGGCGTTGGCGTCGCACAGCGCGTTGCTCACGAATGGAGGGCGCAGGGTGAGAATCTCGAGCCTCTGGAGATGCCCTTCACTACTGTAGGCGGGGCATGGCCCGTGGGAGTTGAACTGCAGAAGCTCCCATAGTTTGCAGGCTGCACAGCTTTGGACATTACCCAGAAGGACTGGGACAGCGGTACAAGTCCTCAATCTTTTTCCAGAACGAAGCCCTACGTATGAAGGACCCAGAGAGTTGCATTGACCGAATGTTACCCTTTTTGGAGATGGACACCGTGCCTTGCCTGCATTCGCTAAATTTGGGAGCAGTAAAGCCCCGCAGCCGTGCTTTGCACTTGCATGTCAGTTGTGACAAGGACTGGTGCCGGGCAGTGATTGTTAGAGTGGTCGTGATAGCTACCGGCTAGAAGTCTACCAAAAGCACTGCAAAGCATGAGAGTAAGGATGATTCTCACTACCAGAGCTCTCAGAGTAGCGGCAGCATTTGCTGAGGTCTGCTTCCAGGTGGATGAGGAGTTTCTAGCTGAGCGCCAGCAGCAGGAATGGGGACCGCTTCGAGAATGGTTCCAAGAGCAGCCCGCCGGCTGCAGTTTGCAGGACTTGCTATTACCCTCCATATCCTTTGTATGTCCCCCCGCCCATAACACCCGCAATATGCTCGACCTACCCCATAAACCCCAATGGTTACCTGCTGTTTAGACTAGAGCATAGCTATGGCTGTGAGCTGCATAAGATATTGACCGAGAAAATGACTGCGGGTATTCTGTTTGTTCTGACTATTACGGTGCCTACTGCATCAAGTATTAGATGTCCTGATTTCCTGCTACGCACTATGTTCTTACTTATCGCCTGTGGTACCTTTCGTGCAATTAGTTGTGCAAGTGTGGTAGAGACCCTACGCGCCTGAGCCCTTTGCCCGCGCTCCAGGTGGAAAAGGCTGTTGTTTACACAATGTGCCCGCAGGTACGCCGTGAAACTGGGTGTGGCAACTGGCCTTGGGTCACCTGGCCACCCAGAGGACGCTTGAACACTCTTCCCGTTCCCTCAGGATACACTGTATATATATATATCTACATATATATATATATCTGTATATGTTTTTAAACTTATATACACACATATATACATATGTATTACAGTTATATGTTGGTACACTGACAAAGTTTCACAATTCCAGAACATAGTGCACTAATCGGTGCTTCCCTGCTGTGCTGTTGATGAGCCTGGAGGAGACCATGTTGCGGGTAGCCGAGCAGCTCCTGAACCGAGATGCCTGGGAGCTATGTGCTTTGGAGATTGCAACGCAGACAGAAGCTGGGTTGCATGAAGTGGCACGAAGAGGGTTTCTCAAAATCAGGCTACCCTTCAGCAGCTTATGAGGGCTTGACTTTTGGTGAGAACTCCTTGAAGCTATCAGTAGGTCACCAGCAACAGATTGGATCATATGCCTACACTCTGCAGCTGTGCTCATATGTTGGGCGGCTGCTGCTGCATTTGGTGCCGTGCTGGTGTTACTAGTACTTGCATTACCGATGTCATTGTTCTCATTCTTGCAATGATGGCTACAACAACTACAAACACCAGCTTTTCCTGCAACTGCCATTTGCTGCTCCAATCACAGCAGCTTGACTAGGCCAAGTCGCTGATTGTTGCCAGCGCCCTGCTGGACCGCAGCACCTCCGTCGAGGAAGCTTTGCGCTGGGCACAGTTAGAAGAGAACTTCCAAATCGAACGTGTGGGGCCAAGATGCTGCTCATTGTTGGTTTTGTGGGGGTTTCCTACCGGCTGCCAGAAGTTATGGCGCGGCCAGGTTGGGGCATGGTTGAAGGTGACCATGATGTCACTGAGAGCGAGATGTTAAAGTGGTTTGAAGCATGTAGGCATTTTGGGAAAGTGCACAGGCACTCCGGTGAGTCTGTTGAGTGACCATGGTGCCGGAGCATGCCTGGTTCCAGCTCAAGTGGGTGCTTCCATCGCTCTGTGCCCTGGTTTCACGCTCACCTGAGCTTGAGACAGGAGAAAAGAATACATACGCAAAGCTGTGCCTGTTCGTTGCGCTCTGATAATTTTACAATTGCGTTCCTTTGCTGCAACGCAGCGCAAAGCTTGGTTTTGCTTCTACTGCGCTCGTTTGCAGCCCAAGTTGGCTTGAGCCCATATCAGACCAAAGCAGGCGCATCAGGCCTGATCACGCACTTCACGCTGGTTATGTAGACACGGCCCAAGCATTTTTGCGCCTGGAGAAGCGAAACACGGGAAACATGCAAGCCGGATAACCTTGTGCTTGCCGGCTGAACCTTGCCACAGTGATGGCCATGGCTGTGTTTCCCAAGAGGTGTTCTGGCAAACATCTTATGAACCTTGGCTGCATTTCGCCCACAACACTCTGTATGAAACATCTGGTGCGCGGACAGTAAATGCATGCCAAGTGAAAGGGTGAGTGGGCGGAGTAGTGGTTGGAGGAAGATTGCTGGTAGTATGAGGGGGGGTTGCAATAAGCTTCCCTCACAATGACCACCAGCCCCGCTGCCCGACGAATAGCTGTTCACAATAGAGTATCGTTATACACCAGCAGTAGCAGTAGCAGCAGCATGTATTGGCAAGGCTGTTTGTGCTTTCCATGGCGCCCTTCCTGCTGCTTGGGGACGTGACCCTAGCATTGGGACTCGTCTCAGGAAGCTGTTTTGCCTATTCAAGTTCAGAAGAGAAGCCAATTGAAATCAATGACTAATATCTTGGTTTGTTATCGGGATTATATAGGGGATAACCCCCAATATACTACATCGTAGTTTCCATGTCCTTTCTATTATCCTTCTATATACTCTGTAATAATCCAGTAGTTTTCATTTTCTTTTCCAGTATCCTTATAAATTATACCCATATATACCCTATAACCCTAAGAAAACCCTAAACCCTATAACCCTAAACCTTAAACCCTAAACCCTAAACCCTTTAATAATACTAATGACCACTGATACAGGTAAGTCCGCTTGCGCGGCTACCTGCCTCCAGCACTTCTGCGGAGATTGCGGATGTCTTGCCCCTGGCCTTCAGAAGTCAAGTGGGGTTTTCCCAAAATTAGGATCTTTCGGGTTTATGGGGATATTTTAGGGTTTAGGGTTTAGGATATTTAGGCTTTATGGGGATATTTTAGGGTTCAGGGTTTAGGATATTTAGGGTTTATGGGGATAGGTTTAGGGTTTAGGATATTTAGGGTTTATGGGGATATTTTGGGGTTTAAGGTTTAGAATATTTAGGGTTTAGTGTTGAGGGTTTCCCAAAATTAGGGGTCCCTTTTTGGGAGTCCTCTTCATAACGATTATAGTAATTTGGGGTTTATATTGGGGGTCCCCTTCTTTTGAGAAAACTACCATGAGGATGTTTGTTCAGGGTCTCGCGCTGTAAAGGCTTTATTTTAGGGGTGAGCGTGGCTTGCAGGGTTATGAAGGAATCGTATAGGGATATGTGGTTTGTCGAGACTTGCTGCGGCAAATGGACAAATCCTCAGCGGCTGGTGCCATTTGACAAACGGCCATATCCGTAAACCCCAAACCCCAGACCATAAACCTTAAACTCTATAATCTCTATAAACCCTACACATCCCTATATTTCCTTTCAATGAACCCTAAACCCCCAAACCCTAAGTGTAGCCAGGATCCGCGATGGCATCGTTGTTTTAGACAGATGGGCCACCAAGGAGACAGTATCCGCAGCGCTGAAGGATCGGTTTCGGGCCAACAGTTCAGAAGAAGGTGTTAGGGTTCAGGCTTCACGCGGCTGGCCTAGCAGGGCTTCTAAAAAGGGTTCAAAGTTTATTAGGTCTGAGGAACCAGTCTCAATGGGAGATGCAGCAGCTCAGACTGCTTCTCCGCCTGGAAGGCCATCTGTTTCTTTGAAACAGCTGTGCATTTCCCGAAATCACGGGCCTCCCCATCCATGGCATGCCAAATGAGCACTGTAAGCCCATTCTGTGGACCACTTTGGTAAGCAAGAGTGTGAAGCCAGCGCGACAGACTGGAAGATCTTTTTCCCCGGTGGGCCGCTAATCTTCAGGGAGCTGGTTTGGACTTGTATGGAATCCCAGTTTCCATTTAAGTTTCCGTTTTCTTTTCCACTTGATTCTCCATTGTTGGGGGGTAATATCCATATATTGCCCCTTATATAACCCTATATACCCTAATCTACTATAGTAGTTTCCATTTTCCATTATCCCTATATAACCCCAATATACTAATGCATTCACACCTATATAAACTCCTTTAAGGGGTCTAGACCATGGATGTCTTGTTCAGCTCGAGGCTTTGGAGGCAACATGCCTTCGGATGGGCAAGCGCCTCTCTAAATGCTCAACTTCTGCTTATTACTATACTATTACATGACTATGTTACGAAATTACTCTTATACTTCTAAAACTTCTATATTACGGTTACTATTAAAGACAACCAACCCCTGGTTCTAGCTGCGAGGAGCTTGAGAGTGGCCGGATGGCTGAAGGCCGCAACGTGCGCTTCGGCGGCAGCACGCAGCTGCTAAAGTGGCCCTTGGACGCTGAGAAGGAGACCGAAAGCTCGACGGCTTTGGGGCAAATGGGTTCCTAGATATAGTTATATTCTTGGGATTATATGAGCCATAATC